TGTTGCTCCTTACTTTAGCAATGGAAAAAAAATAGCCAACAAGCCGGAGAGGGGGAGGTCGGTGCAAGAAGGCCCGAGGCTGCCAAGCTCAAAATGCAACGCAGCCCCGAAGCTTCCCCCTTGCACGGCCCTGCCTTTGCAAAAAAATAATAATAATAAGATGATGACAGCCCGCCTCCGCGCTGCCCCCCCTCCCTCCGGCCGGCCTCGCTGGGTCCCCTCCTTCCTTCCCTCCCTCTCTGCCTGCCTGCCTTCGCCTCCCTTGCATTCGCCGGCTGGCCGGTTACGGAGCTCGCGCCGCGTCCCAGGCTTGGCACTGCGCATGCGCCCCGCCCGGGCCTCGGGTGGGGAGGAGGGGGGAAAAAGGGAGGAGTGCCCCGGGAAGGACAGGAGAGATCGCTCACTGCGCATGCGGAGGCCTCCACCAACCGAAGGCGCGTAAGGGGCGAGGAGGGCGTGCTTTTCCCTTCGCGCAAGCGCAGTGCCGGACCCCGAAGCCCTTCCCTTTTACCTCCGCTTCCTGCCCCCCCCCGCGGGGGATTGGCCGGCAGAGAAGGGAGGCGCTGATTGGCTGGTTCGAAGGCGCAGCGGCGGCGGCGGCGACTGCTTGAAAGGATGGCGGCGGCGGCTGCGCGGATCTTGCGCGCCCTGGAGCGCTGGGGTTTGCGCGACGTCAGCCAGGGTGAGTGAGTGGGTGAGTGAGGGGAAGGGAGGGCGCACGTTTGTGGGAAAATATTTTAAAAAACCAGCCCTGCGAGGCTTTCCCCACCTATTGTTGCTCCTGGACTACACATCCCATTTTCCCCAGCTCCCTGAACTGGGGGATTATGGGACTTGTAGTCCGGAAGAAAAAAAAAGAAAAAATACGGTCGCCCCTCGCCAAAGGCTGCTGGAGAAGAAACCCCGCAGTCAAGGAAGGGGATAAGAGGGGGAGGAAGGTCCTCTTATGGGCTGAGGAGACTCCAGAATAGGTGAAGTGTTGCTGGCCTAGACATACACATATGCCTTTTGCAGAGCCTGTGAAGAAGTTACTTTCTTAATTTGCAAGTTCCTCTTAATTCCTCTACCAGCATGGTCAGTGATCTTAGTGAATTGGGGGGGGGGAGCTATGGTTGAAGAAAGCTACTTTTTCAGGGTTTGGGCAATTGGGGGGGGGGAGGGGGAAGCTATGGTTGAAAAAAGCTATTTTTTCAGGGTTTGGGATGTAGGGATGAAATGGCTGATTTCCTTAAAACCCAAGGGTTCCTAATTAAAAGGGGTGCTGGAGTAAAGAGAAACAGGATTCTTTGTATTAGCGAAAGGAGAGATTATTGGGTATGAATCAGGCGTGAGAGAGAAACACCCTCCTTTTATGCCTTTACTCAGGTGGGTCTATTGTCTCAAAAGCATGTGGTGTTTTGTCTGATAAGTGTCTTTAAAATATTCTCTCTGCTCAGCCTGGGTTGACACGGCTTGGGAGTTGGATTTCACGGAGACAGAACCTCTGGATTCTCGCGTCGAGAACGGGATCACCGAAGACGGCCTGGATGCCTTCTCTCAGCTCTACGCAGCTCTCTACCCTTTTGCTGCCAACGACCATGAGACCACTGAAGTAAGAGGCTAGATGTTAGCCAAGACTGCCTTGGTTTATTTTCTTGGTTGATCCTGCTCCTGCAAATGGGAGGAAGGACATCTTTGGTAGGCTGGCTAAAGCTGATGGGATCCATAGGCGGAAATATTTGTGGCCGGCAGTTGCCTTTCCATCTCTTGAGCCGTTGAACTTCAACGCACCTAACAGTGCACAGTGTTGCCAGTTGTCGGTCAGGCAGGCAGCACGCCAGAAGTTGGAAATACGAATTCTCTTCATTACAGCTCACAGAATCCCCAGCCAAGTTTTTGTTAGCATTGATTAGCCAGTTCATAAATCAGGTGGCGAATCTCGTCCTTTGATTCCCACCGTCTTCTGTGAAGATCACAGAAGTTTCTTGGCAGGCAGGGCTGATGGAGAGGCCCTTCTTTGAAGATCACGGTTGACCCTGCTGGCTTTAAACTAGTCAGGCTAACCAACAATGCTTCTTGCTTAAAGGCAAGCTATTGGCTCCACTCCTGGGTGGGTGTTTGATGTCATAATAAAGGTGTTGTGTTTCTTCTTGTCAGGTTATTGCTCTTTTGTTTCAGAGCGTCTGGCCCCTGTTTGCAGAGAACAATATTTCCCACAACGCTGTTGTCGCTGTGTTGTATCACTTTGTTCAAGAGGCCCAGAATAAAAAGGCCGGTCTTCATCAGCGGCTGTACGGGCTTCACGCTGCTGGCTTGTACTTTTTACTGGTTGAGATTCCAGGTAAGCACGTTGGAAGGTTTGAACGCCAGGTTCCCCTGTGGTTTATAGCGGTGTTCTGAGCAGATATCACCAAAAAAAGTTCAATTCAGGGAAGCTATCTAAATACAGCTTTCTTTGTTCTTTTTATTTATATACGGTACGACTGCAGTTATCCACAGAGATCAGTTTCAAGGCTCCCTCCGTGGATGCCAGAAACCTGCAGATAATAGTGAACCCTGTACACAGCATAGTCTCTTGTTCCCTCTAGTGGCCTCTTCATGTAATTAGATCGTGGAAGTATGAATTTCTGGGTGTTTTCATTTAATGTTTTTAATATTTTCAGACTGGATAAGTGAAACTGTGGATATTGACCCTACAGATACAGAGAACCTACTGTACTGAAAATGTTTTATCCTGCTTCTTAGTCAAAAAGCCTCTTGCAGCAGCTTACATATATAAATAAAAATACAGTGGTGCCTCGCTTAACGGGTGCCCCGTTTAACGACGAATCCGCATAGCGATGAAGATTTTGCGATCGCAGAAGCAATCGCATTGTGATGTTTTAACTAGGAAAAATCGCTTTGCGATGATCAGTACCCTGTTTTGCTTACCGATCATCGCATAGCAAAGACTTTCCAGCAGCTGATCGGCGGTTCCAAAATGGCCGCCGGGTTAAAAAAAATGGCCGCCCACTGTGTTTTCACCCGGATTCCTTGCTTACCGGGCAGCGAAAATGGCCGCCGTATGGAGGATTTTCGCTTAAAGGTGAGTTTTAAGCCCATAGGAACACATTGAAGGGGTTTCAATGCATTCCTATGGACTTTTTAACACCGCATAGCGACGAAATCACTTTGCAGCGATTTTTGCTGCACTGATTATCGTCACTATGCGGGGCACCACTGTAAGCATATATATATATATATATGCAGCTTATAGTACAGTGGTGCCCCGCATAGTGACGATACTCAGTGCAAGCTTATAAGCTGAAAAAATATGATGCAAACAGAGATGGGAGGCGAGGGGAAGCAAATAGTCATTCTTTCTCCCAAAATAGATCATGCCTACATCTGCTTTAGAGTACTGCATGCAAACACAGAAAGCTGTTAAATCCTATATGGATCCATTTTGTTCCTTACTGTCAACTTTGCTGAGATGTTTCGTTTGCCATTATGTTTTTGCTGTGGGGGCGTTTCGTAATTTGCAGATTCTTACCCGTCTTCCCTTTCGGCAGGCAGCATAGCCAATCGGGTGTTCCACCCCGTCATGTTTGGAAAATGCCTCCAGACCCTCTCTAAATGCTGGTCCCAGGAGTCCATTCTGCCCAGAAAAAGGAAGAAAGACCACAGCAAGAACCCTTCAAGTCACAAGAAGAGGGGCAAGTTGTCAAGGAAAGAAAATAACCCGGTAAGGAATGCCTGCTGTCCGAACCCGGCAAGGATTTCGGCCTTTTCCCTGGTGAGGTGGCCGTGTCTCTTGACCCAGAGACAGATATTTGGCAGTCTGTGAGCTGCTCTGTAGGGATCCAGGCTTCAAAAGCATCTTACCCCCAAAACAATACTACATGTGAGCGGAATACACCATGTAACCTATGGTTAATGGAGAAACGTATGGAGCACATAAGATTATGGGCTACTGAATTTTGCAACTTTTAAAGTTTTGGAGTCTGTTTAAAGACACAATCTTCCCCCAACCACCAACATGGAAAGATGCACTGGTTTGGACATGTTATTTTGCCTGTTAATCTCTTCTCTTCTTTTCAAACCTCTGGAAATTACTGCCACATGTTTATATTTGTTCACTGTCTTGTTTCCTGGAGTTATCACTTATTCTTGTGAATTGTTTCTTGCCCATTTGTAAAACAAATAGGTTTTTAAAAGCAGTCTGCCTTGCTCCGTAAACTGGCACCCTTCCCAGTGTTTTGTTTCCATAGCTTCGTACCATACAGCCGTTCTTTGTTTCCATAGCTTCGTACCATACAGCTGTTCAAAGTACAGTATATATTGTGATTAAGAGGGACACAAGGACATACAGATTGACGTAAAGATCTAATGTGGAATGTTGTGGCAGCTTCCCTCCTGTTGAAGCCAGGAGCAAACTGTTCACTGTCTTGTTTCCTGGAGTTATCACTTATTCTTGTGAATTTTCTTGCCCATTTGTAAAACAAATAGGTTTTTAAAAGCAGTCTGCCTTGCTCCGTAAACTGGCACCCTTCCCAGTGTTTTGTTTCCATAGCTTCGTACCATACAGCTGTTCAAAGTACAGTATATATTGTGATTAAGAGGGACACAAGGACATGCAGATTGACGTAAAGATCCAATGTGGAATGTTGTGGCAGCTTCTGTTGAAGCCAGGAGCAAATGTTTTTATTACATATTGATGAAAATCCAGATGTTTCCTACAGCCCATCAAAGCGCTCAGGGCCAGTTGTCGCAATGTGTGGCTTTGTTTAGCGAAACCATAATAATTCATTAGTAAACTGGCTTCCCATGTGTTAACTTTCCTGAGAAGGTAGGAACGTTAAGGTCAATTGGTGATCGAGTCAACAGTAACTTAGTAGAAATTATAAAGTTAGTACAAATAGATGTTTGTATTGCACTTACCGTATTTGAGTATTAATTTGTTCTGTTTCACTCTCTGCCCTTCTGGTGTCTTGCAAAGTTGGTCAAAATAATTATAAAATTTATTGGAATGGAGTTCACCCTCGGTATAGCAAACTCATCGTCCATTCGTTGCCATTCTAGGTCAAGGAGAATTTTGAAGAGGAAGAAGATCAGGAAGAAGAGGTCTACTTTTCCGCACAGGAGTGGCTTCAGATTCGGGAAGCCCTCTTTCTCCTCCTCAAAAACCTCTTGAGGCTTCTTTCCAAGTTTTCCTTGAAAGAACGGCCACAGTGTGCGGAGACGTGCATTCAGGTGACTGGTTCGACTGAGAGAGAAACTTCCTTGCGTTGGAATGGAGTTCACCCTCGGTATAGCAAACTCATCGTCCATTCGTTGCCATTCTAGGTCAAGGAGAATTTTGAAGAGGAAGAAGATCAGGAAGAAGAGGTCTACTTTTCCGCACAGGAGTGGCTTCAGATTCGGGAAGCCCTCTTTCTCCTCCTCAAAAACCTCTTGAGGCTTCTTTCCAAGTTTTCCTTGAAAGAACGGCCACAGTGTGCGGAGACTTGCATTCAGGTGACTGACCCGATTGAGAAACTTCCTTGCATAGAAGTTGTAAAGCACATTTTTCTCTTAGAAGGGACTAGCTCTGCTGCCTTGTAGGAACTGGGAATTAAAATTAATGGAACTCAGAATATCTTTACACTAAGGATAGTAGCAAAGTGACACCTCCATGCTCTAAAGCTCAAGAGAGAAAAGGTGACGGAACTGTGTTTTCTTGAAGTCTCAATGGGATCTGGTTAGAGTCATTTCTGAGAACAAGATGTTAGGCTTGTTTTGATCAGGGTGTTCTGTTAAATGTTTATATGAGAGCTTGAAAGCGTCTCTCTCCTGCTGTCAAGCCAGGGAGACCCTTCAGGTCTATAAGGTTCTGAAACAGCAGCATACAACTGCAAGTCACCCTTGCTTAGACTGTCTTACCCGAGACCATTCGGCATCTTATACAAGACTCTTTTCTTTGCTGTTCAATGTAGCTCTCAACTTCCTTTGGTTTCTCTTCTAGATCTTTGTTAATTTGACACAGTTTGAGCCCTGCGCTCTTGAGTTTGAACCCTCAAAGAAGAGGTGAGTGGATTGTCTTGAATCTCAATATTGTCCTGGGAGGGATGTGACACCTTATACCGGTTGAGTGGATCTTGCAGATGTTGAAATTAAGTCAACCCCTCCTCTATCGTACCCAGTTACAAAATGAAGCTGTGCATTACCTTTCTTTTTGTGTGTTATAAATGTTTGGGGATTTTAAACTCAGATTTTTAAAATAAAATTTGAAAATTTGTAAAAAAAAATACTGTTTCCTATTTTTAACTTTTATTCTTTTAAAATGTTTGGGGATTTTAAACTCAGATTTTGAAAATAAAATTTGTAAAAAAATTCTGTTTTCTATTTTTAACTTTTATTCTTCTTTTTTGGTACAGGGCAGTAGATCAAGCCAAGTACATCCCCGAACTTGCCTACGCTGCTCTCCGCCTGTTGTGTTCCCCACTTCACAATCTAGAAGACAAGGTAACTATTTAAATAGGATCATAACCCCTGCGGGTGGCTCCTCTGTATAGAGAGATCTTAAGTGTGCATGTGTAAAGCCATCCTGTGCGGGTGGCTCCTCTGTATAGAGAGATCTTGAGGTGTGCATCCTGCTTGTCAAAAGGACAAGTGAACCTCCTAGAAGATTCGGGGTCATCTTAAAGGAATCTTAAGCCCATCGCTTAAGAGACTGCCCTAGAATAGGATCATAACCCCTGCGGGTGGCTCCTCTGTATAGAGAGATCTTAAGTGTGCATGTGTAAAGCCATCCTGCTGCTTGTCAAAAGGACAAGTGAACCTCCTAGAAGATTCGAGGTCCTCTTAAAGGAATCTTAAGCCCATCACTTAAGAGACTGCCCTAGAAGTGGCTGGGAAAGGGAGCTTTCAGAAATTCAGAGAGTTTTGATTGTCATTCACATTAGCCCAAGCTAGTCTAGATAGCATTGAGGCTGATGGGAATTGTAATCCAACAGCACATAGAGGGTGAAGCTCATACACATCAATGCATGATGGGGGAGTCCGGAAATGCAGTGGCACCAAAATGTCTCCTTGTGTTGTAATGTCCTGATTATAGAAAGTAGAAGTATGCAGATGTGTAGTTTCTGCCCCCACCTAATGGCGTCTTCCATTTCCCGTATGCTTATTTGATAGGCATCACATGGGACCTTGGTTCTCTCCAGCTTTCAGTGACATTTCTACCTCTTTAGCTGATTTTTCATTGTGCCAGGAAGATAATCTTGAGAGCCAAGTAGAGAAAGCCAAGGCGAGCATTTGTTAAGTAACAGGCAAGGCTACAGATGACGTAGGCAGATGTAAAATTAGGGTGGCGGAAATTCCCCCTCTAAATCTTAAATGCATATGCATGTTGCAAGTGCCATTATATTTGATTTTTTTTTTAACTCCAGGTCTTTGGATAACCAACTCATAAGCAACTTTTCGCTCTCTGATTTTAGATTCTGCAATCTCTCTCTCTCTCTCTCTCTCTCTCTCTCTCTCTCACACACACACACACACACACACACACACA